CAAAAGGTATAAAACTGATTTGACATGGCAATGGTTCTGTCAATCTCCCAACCCTGTTTAAGGCAGAAAATCAGGTGGGGGATGAATGAATGAAAGCAAATAGAAGCTCGGTGGCCTTGGGAGAAGATTTCAACCAATATAACTCAATCATTAGAGGTAAGATGAAAGAATATGTATGACGTAACCGAATAAAACACAACAAACTCAGTTTCAGAAAGGGAAGATCTTTTCTGACTAACCTGGTAGATTTTTTTGTGGAGGTGGCATCCCAATTTAAATGTTGAAGTATATTACATAAAATTACTACTTTTATAAAATGTCTAGACTTCCAAAAGATCTTTGACAAAAGACTGCTGAGAATCTCCTTTCCAAACTGATCTCATTGATTACCAGGGGTAAGAAATGGACACACATTGGAAACTACCTAAATGAAGGGAAGCAAAAGGTAGTCAGAAACATATCAAGGTCAAAATAGGGGAAGTATTGAGTTGGGTATTGGGTATTTCAGGGATTCGTACTTGAACCCCTCTTGTTTCTTTATATATTTATGACCTGGATTGCTAGTCATAATGCAAAGTGGTTTAATTTGCAAATGGTACCAAGCCATGGAATCCAAAGAGGCAGCCAAGATCTTACTAAGAGAGCTTTACAAGTATTAACTAATTCCTGGCAGTTCAATACAGACGTACAATATAGGTAAGTGCAAGTCACTGAGTACGGGAAGTAAAGTGGGAGGCACGTGTTCTCTGTGGAGAGGATAGAATTTAAGTTGGGATGTCCTCCCAAAGTGAAAGGCGTTATAGAAATGTAATTTTGTATTGTATCATCAGGGGGTTGAGCTAATGGGGAACAATTTCAGCTTCAATGAGAGAAGTCTCAGAATATAGGAAATTGGAAACAGTTGAAGACCATTTGGCCCATTGAATCTGCACCACCACAAACCTCTCCATAGTTTATATAGCATATCCTCCCTTAATCCCACCTCTCTATCTCTCTACCATATTTACCTTAGTATATTTTTACACCACATATCTATCCACCTCTCCAGAATCTCTGCACCAATTTCTCATTTGTGTTGCTCATTTTTTGTTGTAGACCTTTGTGGATTCTGAAACTAATTGGTCCATTCTACCACAACCTACTATTAGAGACCTACACTAAATCATGGTTCTGCACAGCAAAAACAGCACGGTGACTTTATAGTTAATTCTCTTGTACCTTAAATAAAATGGATACCACAACCCCTCGCTATTCTCAAGAACCTCCATAGCTGGCTTACCCTCTGTATGCATATTGCTTTTACAAAGGGGTGTCAGCGGGGTTCAATTTGTGGTGTAGTATTTCTCAATGGGATTGCTCAATAAGTAATCTGAGTTGCATAAATGAGGTCTCATTCCAGTAACCAGAACGACATCAGGCCAAGGCAAAGTATTTCCGCACTAGAGTTCCCACACGTTGATGGGAAATCTAAAGGGATTCTTTATTAAGAATACAGAATATTCCATCCCTCTGTGTTGATTGTCGTTTTCTGGAATTTAGTTTTAAAAGACAAATTGACGGATGTGACCAGCTTTATAAAGTGGAAAGATTGCTCAGATGCAAAAGCTAACCTATATCTGACGTCTAGACAATTTATTTGATGCTAACAAATAATTTGTGGAGCAAAATAAGAATATGTGATGCACTGTCTTGCATTGTCGATTTATGCATTTTTTAAACTAAAAATATTGCTGAAATTATGGATAGATGCAAATCAAAATGATTCTGGTGCTGGTTGATTAATACCGAGGAGGATGCAGGACAAAACTGCAGTAGTTGCACAAACTGTGTGGAGGCTGAGTTGAACCAGCTCTGCTGCACTATGCATAGGAAATGAAACCCTCCAATGTACTTCCCACCAGTGACTGATCACGTCTTTAACTACGTCATTCCTGCAGAGCACTTCATCTGGAATACAGAGATCGTCCATTAACATTTCATTGCAGACGTTCAAATGAATGCCCAGAAAAAAATGAGATCTGTAGAACACCCTCACTATGAAATTGCTTCCGTTTGCAAAAGACAAAACAAAAAAAAGTTCCACCAGAGACAGGATTATTTTTAGTAATACGACAGTGCTGTTGACAAGAGACATCAATTTAGAAAGAAACAAATACACAAATTGTTGGGTAAAAACCTGATATCAGCATATCTGAAGTGAAATCAATTTTACAGGAAATATTGCTTCCCTTGTGACTGTAAAGATACAGAGGACCTGCAGTTTGTGTCAGCCCTGAATTTGATTCTTATTTTTTTCACTCTCCATTTTATCATTCAGTATATCTTTGTAACGTGATGCAGCCTTACAAAAAATGACAGGTAAACATGTTTTCTCCTGGTGCGCATTAACAGGAATTTACCATTTAAATGCATGTTATTTCCAGAACACATGAATTAATATTGTGTCTTAGACAATGTCCTCATCTGTGTTTGTAGAGAGACACTGTCCATGGCAATTAATCTTGTAAGGATATTTGGCAAGTCTTGTGTGCATTCTTGCCTGAAGTAGACTGAATCCTCCTGTTAGGCAGGTTTGTCAATTTATGAATTCTCCAGTATTTGCGCTCTTAGAATTATAGATTTATTTCACTTATTCCTTCTTCTGACTAGTTAACTAATCTAGGGACATTAGACAAAATATTCTGCTCGTCATTAATTTTGGTTACTTTGAGAAAGTGCATTCGTAAGTGGTTAAATTCTATTTATAAAGACACATTGTCAATGTTGCTACGCTTAATGACAAGTAAATATCACTTCGTTGTTTCCAGAATATTTGTGACAAATGAAGCGTGACAACTCAAAAGCTAAAGTTAATTATTTGGTAAACCTGTTCCTGCTTGAGAAAAGAACCACAAAATCAAGCTTTGTTCTCACAAGGATGACCTCATATTTAAGTGACACATTTATTTCACTGTATTACAATTTACAGAACTCTATTGCGCTTTGTAATCAAACAAACATTTTGCTTGGACACTTTTTTCAGGAAAATGGTGACGTTTAACTATTGTGTTGCTATCGCTTGAATAAGGCTACTTATTAAAGGGTTTGCAGAGATAATAAAGGACACTTATTAAGACTTATTGAATTATGTTATTTGATTCATTGCTAACTGTGAGGAAGTTATAAAATATTTGCATAGCTTCCTTCCAATGTTTTCTCCTTACATTATCTTTCGTGAAGCACATTTTCTATGCAAAATAGTTCTCTGGAGAACTATTGTCCCAACAATTTAATATTTCATATTAAACTATTAAATTTGACGTATAGCATAGACAATCATTTAATAGGCATTTATGACCAAATGAGGCCAACATATGTTCATAACTGATACGAGCAAAACAAAACAAACTAATAATATAGCCCTTTTCTCCCAAATGGTTCAGTGAGCAAATTGTCCTCTGATTACAAATGGTTTAGTTCAGCACTGAGCCATATGAACTGGGAAGATGCCTGATGACATTCAGTTCTGTGCTGAATTGCCCAAGCTCAGCCTTGCAATAGACTCTGCATTCCAAGGTTCCTGGTCTTGTTTGCTCACTAGCGGGACCTGTTGGAAATGTATAAGTGTGATAGCTGGGCAAGGGCTGAGTCAGGCTCAGTTACAATATCACTGAAAAGCTCCTTGTTTAGCACCAGGAGTGAAGAGATACTACTAGGCAAAGTACTGGAGAGCCACTGCGACTTATGATGACACAATTTAACATGAATTATTTCTTCATACGAAGCGGACCCAGGATGGATAACCAGAGGAGAAAAGGAAATATGATCGGTGTTAAAAAATATTGTAATACCAGCTGAAATGTTAAGACTTTAATGCTGCAGTCTAGTGCACCACCATCCACTTAAAAGCTTCTACACAGTGTTTAACCATAATTAGTTAGTAAAGTGCCAATGTATAACAGCAATAAGATATCAATTGCTGTATTTGATGATTTCCTTAAATCTTAAGAATGCTTCAGCTTAGTCAAAGGCGTGTTTGCTAAATCGTTCTTGTGTATCAGACAGTGAACATGAAGTTTATTTTATCTCAGTGGTGCTGAGCAGGACCTAGTAATATTTACATATTATTGCTATACTTTATTTTGCTGACATAGCAGATGTACTTATCTTTCATAAGAAGTGGAATACAAAATGTACAGCTATTCTACTGTCTTCTGAAAAACATCGAAGAATGAGAGCTAAGGTGTAAAAATCGTTAAAGAAGAGTTGGTTGAATTGCTTTGGAGGTTTGTTTGTTCTTGTTACTGTTTATTGCATTTTGTGCTATATTTGTTGCTTTCCTGATAATGTAGAGATTAATGATTAGAAGATATAGGGTGAATGTAACGTATGATGTGCCACCTAACATGAAAGGCGCTTTACAAGTAATAACTAAATTTGTATTGTATAATACAATTTTGCCCACAAAATATACAGTCAATTCACTTTACAGTATATTCTGTGAAGCACTTTGAGATGTCTCAAAGAGGTGATAAGGCGCTATATTAAATGCAAGGATTAATATTACTATTATTATTATTACGTCATAAGTCACATTTCCCCCTATGTAAAAAAGAAAAGGTGTAAATGTTTATTTGGTTCTTTTTTAGGTTGAATCTATACAACAAAGAACCTGTGTATATGCTTCATTCGACTTCTTGTGATAAATATCCATTCAACAGCAGCAATCGGTCTGTTTGTGTAACCTTGATACCAAGTCTTTGCTAGTTATAGTCCTATCAGCTTTCTGAGTGTAAACTCCAATTGGTCAGTTGAGGCTCTATTGCATTATGTAGGCAGTAGTCTTGTTACATTACATTAGTTACAGTAGTAAAACTTAAGTACTTAAAATTTTGTGGGGTCTTGCACTGTTGGTTAAGTTTAACGGTGTATCCATTTTGAAAAAAGGAAAACATTCTCATTGATCATTTTGAAATCTGATCATAACTGCGTCACATATTATTTACTTTCTATATTTCTTACCTAAAGGAACGGAGAGGTTGCGAACTGTGCCAATGTCATCTTCCTTGAATACAATATCAGCCATGTGCCAGGACTAGTGCTAATGCATATCTAATTAGCTAACACTCTATAGTGCTAATCATTACTATAGGGTCTTCAAATGTTGCCAGCAGCCTCTTCTCTGGTGATCGTGGATGTGAAGATAGATCCTCTGCATCGGTAGAGGAAATGAGTTTCGGGTTTAACAAGTTGGAGGAAAACTCCTTTTCCTCATGGTCTTCATAGAGTGTCTGAATGTTTTGGATGTTGATTTGTGGATGAGCATTGTCATGGTTGAACTGGGGTTTTGCTTCAGAGAAACCATTCTCTATAAGTAGATCGGATGCAACTGCTACTGCAGGCAAATTAGTACTGCTGGCGGCATAAAGTCCACTGACAGGCAGGGTTAGGCAGCTCTCTGATGAATGTTTAATATTGCTTGTAGCACCTCCTTCAGACAGATTACTATCTATGAGAAATAACTGGTTAAGAGTTCAAATGGCAACAAATAAAAAAAATATTTGGGGCAATTATTCACATTTTCTAAAACTTAGGCGAAGTTTGCAGGTTATTATTAAGTGTGCAACTACATATTTAGTCCTTAGTTACTCGTAAACGACAAACCCAGAGATAGTAAGCACCCCGGGCATTTATTGAACTATAATCAGATCAAACCTGAAAGTATGAAACTTTTCGTTTAGGTATCTAAATGACAAGGGTCACTGAGGAAACATACTAAATTAATGAAGGGACCAGGCAAGCAATATAATGTACTATCCTGTATCAGGAAAGTTAAAATGTGACCAGTCTGGTTGGAGACGTTCTCAGATTCAACGCGTTGGAGATCTCCCATTTCAAGCTGCAGCTCTATGGATTCCAGTTACAAGAGAACCAGCCAACACTGTAATTCCTACACCAGCATCCTAATATTCTTAGCTAGAGATGAGGGTGAATCCCAACCAGGAATATTCAGGATGAGGATGTACACAATAAGATTTAATTGATACTGAACATTTCTGTCTGAGCTTGCTCTTATCTTCCAGGACTGTCCCAAGTAATGAACCATAGAATTCTCTCTGAGCTTCTAACTTTTGCTCTTGAGCCTATCATCAGCTGATGTTGCAAATGTTACAGCTCAAATATGGTATGGGAGCATTAGAGTAACCACAAGGATACTTTCAGGATTTACCTTATTGAGCTATAAGGAGATATTGTGGAATTGTGAATCAGTACTTCAATGTCAATAATAGCCACAATCTTTGCAAATATTTGAGAGCTTTTCTACAAACCAAAAATACGACCTCATGTAAGTCAAATTAAAATGTTGTCCTGTCTGGTAGCGATGTTCCTAATTTCAGTAGCATTAGTGATCTCCAGTTTCATGGTTTCGGAAAGAAGTTATGCAATAAACAATCTGCTGGAATTCTTCAAGAAGGTAATTTAAGCAGGAAATGGGAAATAGCCAGTGAATACAATCATTTGGGAATTTCAGAAGCTATTTGGTAACAATATTCAGGTAACGATTTTCAAAATTAAGGTTCCTGAAAGTAACCCAGGCCAGCCAAGGATTTTGAAAATTAGCTTGACATTGGACAATAGAAGGTGACAGATTGGGACAGATGGGACAAATGGGACAGATTGTTGGCTGAGGGGCACAATTCTTTATTTTCCTTCCTTCGTTTCTTTCTTAACTGGTGGTACTGTCGACTGACATACCCACATGCTGTGCCACTAGGTTTTGGAACAAGAAATCTCTCCCATGGTTTTCCATAGAGTGAGTTACTGACTCATCCGAGGAAAGGAAAATTGGGAAATCAATCACCCTAAGTTCACGCACCACTTGATATTTCATCAAAGAAGTTCCATGTCAGCAACCTTGGAACACGTCACACGTCTGTCCTTATTGGGAGGATGGGTTAAAGGAGCAAAACAAAGTATAGGGAATACAACTTGGCATTTGAAGATTATTCCTGCAACTTGAAAAATGGGTAACAAGAGAGTTTATGCTTGACATTGGAAGAGTTAATAGGAAGGTTAGAAGAAACTTTTTTTAGGGGGGTGTGGGGTGGGTTGGGGACATGGGGGGAGGGGGTGATCAGAATATAGAATCTTTGCTATAAACAACTATTGAGGCAGAGACCAACCTATTAGTAACTATCAAGATGTTAGGCTGAATGGCCTCCTCCTATGCTGTACTTTCAATGATTTTCAATGATCACCCAAAAACCTAATAAAATAAAAACTGATGCTGCAGAATTATCAGAAATAAGATCAATGCCTTGTCAATCGACTGAAAATATGGTGTGAAAACCTCATTGGAGAACAATTTGGTTAAATTGGACTCATAGATCCTAGACTCATAGATGCAATGAAATGGTACAATTCTCTTTTCAATGGCTCTTTTCCATTCCCTAACATACCATTTGTCCCATGTCTTATTGTTTCTATTAGAAAGTTGACGCTGCTTAATAATGGAACCACAACCTGTGATTTTGATACTGGTGATAATTCTTTTATGCACCAATGAAGTTTAAAAGTTCTCCCATACACAAATAATACAGATCTAACATCATATTGGCTTGAGAGTAAAGGAAAGGATATTCATACCACAGTGGATAATATTGTGAAACTTATTTCAAAGTAAATGGGCTATATGTATTTTTAAAGACATCACATTAATGAAATATTTATAGTACTCGGAAGAGTGCATTAAAAAAGTGCACTGTTTTCACTGTGGGGAAATTTTAGAAAAGTGGTGCTCATTGTAAAACATTTGGAATGAATTGTACAGCAGTAAGCAAGTACTGTAGAATGAATAATTACAATTATATATTAAGCATTATTCCCCATTAATCTACTTCTTTACTTTGGTTATTATTGTGATAATTATTATTATTTACTTAACCCACACTTTACCTTTCATTGGAGATGGTACGTGTGGCAACACATGCTCCTCTGGGTGCAGGAAGTCCGTCGCTTGACTCTTAGAAGCAGGAACGATGCAACTCTCTTGATTTTCAGGTTTGGGCTTTTTGGTGCTAAGGAGGTATGGGTGAACGTCTAAGGAAAAGTGCCGACTGTGTTTCTTCTCACTGTTAGCTGCAGGGTAGCCTTCATTTTTGCTGGAAGATGAATCCTGGGGACATTTGGAACCAGAATCGAGGAGAGGAGCCGCAAGACTGTCAGTCACCGTCTTGCGTCTAACCGGCTTCAGCTTTTCCTTGTGATTCTCAACCTTGGTGAGGGTTGGGGGGTCTTTGAATGGCTGGTGGAGTGGGTGTGTGGTTGAAATCCATTTCATTTTCTTCCTGGGTCTCTTTATAACCAGCTGCTCGTTGGCATCAAGTTCTGCTGGATCAGCACTGGGATCAACTGTCTGGATCCCTGCATCATGCATGGTCGGGGTAGAGTCATGGTTAGACTGGGCCAAGGCCGCCAACAATTGCCTCACCACATTGTCGTACATCAGATCACTTTCATTTGTGATGAAATCTAACCTGTTTAGTGATTTGATATGGTCGCGGTTTTCATTGCAAAACAAAGCTAAAATGTTAATGTCACAAAACTGCGACTTTTGCCACTGTTTTTTAGTCTTGATGCCCACTTTATGCAGCTTATCAAAAATAAAGTTAGATTTCCTGACTATAAAAAGATGGACTAGATTTATCAAGATGATGAGGTTTATGAAGCTCAGCAGAGTGATGTCTACTATGACGATAATGCGCTGCATCTGCACAGATGGCAGTTTGCACTTGACACTGACGTGCTGCCTTTGACCACTTGACATATCCGGAGGTTCCCCCAAAGGGCAGGTGAACTCGTTCTGCTTTTGAGTTGCATAGTAAGTGCATAGATAGGAAATTGGAACTATGCTTAAAAACACAACAGATAATTGTCTTCCCAGGTAAAGCCTGGCCAAAAAATTACTCTGCCCTCGACGCTCTAGGTATTTCTCAAAAAGATTCTGCTCTGGACTCTTTTCTTTCTCTGCATTCTCTATGATCTCCCTCTTCTCCTTCTCTGTAATGCCTGGTCCTTTCGACTGGATCTGCTTCTCGATCTTAGGGGCACGACCTTCAGCGGCTCGATGGTAACAGTTATCTATTTCCTGGAGCAGAAAATTCAGTTCTGAAGTCAGCCTGGTAGAGGCTAAGAATTCCCAGCCGAGGACAGGAACGTACATGACACCACCAAAGGCGAGTAATGCATAAGGGAGAAACTTGTGCTCAAACAGGGATGGCCACTGACTGGGATCGACACCCGAGATAGCGTCTTTCAACTCCGTCCAACAGTACCCTCTGGCATACAGAGCTTGGTCACGGGTGAAATTGTTCGGCGTGTAACAGTATATCGACTCCTCTGTGTAACAGAGAGAAAAGTCACTGTTGTAGTTTTTTTTAAAAACCTGTCAAAGGTGCTCTGTAAAATAAATATTTTAAATAACTTATCAATTGCATTACATTGTACCTGGCTAATGTTGACATCTCACCTTTTAATCCAATTTTTTAGACGGTCCCTTTCAAAGATGTACAAAGCCAGTATGGTTAAGCATGTCCCGATGTGAAAGGTGCTTTATGAATGTAAATTTGCATTGTATTGTAAATATGTAAAACGTATGTTTTTGGAGCTGACCGGCCCCTATTCCATTATATCTTTATGGAGGTAAAAATTCTATTATACATAATAATAATAACAATCCTTGCATTTGATATAGCGCCTTATCATGTCATTGAGATGTCTCAAAGTGCTTCACAGAATATAATGTAAAGTGAATTGACCGTATATTTTGTACCTTTGGCAACATGCCACATGAGGGAATATCCCATTCATGGCCAACAACAACAGCAACAAAATTACATTTGTATACAACATCTCCTTTGGTAATTTACATAATGCTGGAAGGAATTTTACCCATTCATTATGTGGTCAAGTCTTACTCATTTGCTTTAGACACAGAAGTCGCTAGGAACACTCAGCAGGTCAGGCAGCATCTATGGAGAGAGGAAAGTGAGTTAACTTTTCAGGTCAATAACCTTTTGTCAGAACTATAGTGACTTGCTGAGTGTTCCCAGCGACTCCTGTTTCTATTTCAAATTTACAGCATCTGTAGTATTTTGTTTTTTACTCATTTGCTTCGGGACTTTATTATTTTGTGCAATAATATCAACTGTAAATGCCTCATTGTATAAAAAGAAAAGGGAATTTCCCTTATTCCTAATGCACAGGTTGCAACTAATATTAATATTAATCTCAGCCACACCTTATCATGTCGTTGAGATGTCTCAAAGTGCTTCCCAGGGTTTTACTATGAAATATAGTGTTTGTGTTTGTAAGCAAATGTGTTAGCCAATTTGCGCATAGCAATGTCCCATAGCACAAAGTAATACACCACATATCCACATCCCAACTATCTGCATGGCCACTATCTGTGTTGGTGTCTGATGCAAAAGTGGATGTAGTACTCTACTGCGATACTGCAAAAATAATGTAGATGTGTGAATGAACCTGAGGCGAATGGAACCTGGAGCTGTTCAGTTAGACTGTGAACCAACAGCACAAAGATAAGTGTTTAGCTAACAATCTATTAATCTACAGTGTAGCATTAGTGATAAGAAGAATCAGAGAAAGATGGAGAAAAAGAAATTTGTCGAGAGCTAAAGATAGAACACTAGAGACTCAGAGGGAGAATGACTGAGAGAGAGAAAACTTGAAAGAATCAGAGCGAAAGACTGCATTAGAGACAATGAATGACGGTGAGAGAAAGACTGGCGCAGTGTAGAACTACAGTGACAATATAATTCTTGATGGTTACCGCTGTAGCCGAGTTGTATTTTGTGTGATGATGGATTAGCCACACTGGTTCCTTATCCACATTTGGGGTGGCGAGGGGGGGCATTCCCAATTTGTCAGATAATGATATAGTTCCAAATATCTAAATATACTCTGTGTACATGAACCACTGCTGGATGTCCATGTTCCATTTCATCATTGCAATTCTATTAGGCATGGCATCATTTAAATGTAATATATAAAAAGCTAAGTTATATTTTCTCTATGACTGTGACACCTGAACCATTGATGCGTACTCACTGCATTCCTTCTTCACCAATCCATCTTGTGGTACAGTAATATAGGCAGCTCACTCAAAATAAGGCAACTCAGAAAATACGCACACTATGATTTTAGTAGTCTAGTTACTGAATATATCTGCCGGATTAAATTTTCTCCAACTGTGGTGGAACCATTGCTCAATGGAAAGGGACCTGTACCCAAGCAGCAGATACGAAGATGGTGGCAATGCTCTATGGGAGAGAATGTGGCTTCCGATAAATATATCTGGGATTTCCATGTGTAGGTAAGATGCATGGAATTCTCAGTTTGGTTTGGATACTCTCAAGCATGGTGATGGGTTTCTGCATAACCAAAACAAAAATTAAATTTTTCTTACACAAACTGTATCAAACAAAGGTACCACAATTTTATTTCCTTATTACTAAAGACACAATACTCTTCTGACTAAGAGAAAAATCATTGGAGAAATATTTGTACTTAGCAGGTGCCTTTCCATGAAATGTTACTAAACTTTGAAGCTTTATATGTGTAAATAGGCAAATTGTGTTAAGATATATATGATTAATACCAAGGAAGACAACTGAAAGAATTCATGTACACATAATGATGACAGATCAGTTGCAACATTTCAAAGCTACTTAAAGAAAGAAATTGTTTTTGTATCACCCTATCAAACTGAAATGTCTCAAATCGCTTTACCATAATCATAGTACTGTGACTGTTTGCATGGGCAAACGTCCAACAAACAATCATCAGGCAGATTATAATTATTATAATTAATTCAAATTATATTTGATATAGTACCTTTCATATTTGGAGGACATCTCAAAGTGCTTCATAGATTTCTGTATATTTACTGACTGTGTGTTTGTAGGCGAACACTGCAGCCAATTTACGCATAATTCACAAATAGATATGAATGATTAATTTTATCTGAAGATTGTTGGACAGGACACCAGGATAAACTCCTTGCTCTTTTCAAGTTGTGCCATGGGATTTTTAGCAGCCACCTGAACAAAAGGAGATGACCTTGGTTTGAGGTCTCCTCTGAAGGAATGCACCTCTGATAATGCAGTGCTCCCCCACCACTGTATTGCCGTGTCAGCTTAGACTCTGAATTCAGAATTCTGACATGGAGCTTGAACACACAACTTTTTGACTCAGAGGCGAGAGTGCTACTAACCGAGGCAGGCTGGCACCTGGAAGATTATTATCTTGAGGGATTATTGTCTTAGATACCAGGAAATAGCTCCTTCTGTTTTTGAATAGTGCCACTTCTGAAACATTGCTCCGTGCCTTAAAGATGCAGCACCACTTTACAATGAAACATTACACTGAACCTTAGTTTATCATTTCATTTACAAAACAGCAATCTTCCTGGCCCAGACTATAAGATCAAATGCCAACATGATGCCAACATCAAACCATATGTGACTAACCCAGAGGTAAGAGAGATACCACGTGATTCAAAATGAGGTACAGAAAAATGAAGATATAAAAGGTTAGAAGGAAATACCAGGGATATGGGTTTAGAGTAGATAGTGCCAGTCAAGTTTATTCTTTCCAATTCTGATGAAGCATCACACATGAAGTGTTAGCCTATCTTTCTGGTTCAAATGCTGATCAGCCCACTGTCCATTTCCAGCAAGGGTCAAAACTATACTTTGCTCAACCTCAGAGACTTCCTAATGACTGGTATCAAGAACAACAAATTAGATTTGTATGGAGGATCTCCTAAGGCGCTGGACAGTCAGGGATCCGCACCCAAGCTGGTGGTTGGGATCGGGAAGAGTGAAGGGCAGGGAGGGTAGGGGTAGAAAGGTGACCAAAGACACGGTCGAAAAGGAGGGTCTTGAGACAGGGGCAAGGGATGGGGCAAGGCGGAAGGATCATAGGCTGGAGTTCCAGAGGGTGGGAACAGAGAGATTCCAATCCCATTGGATTGCAAAGAATAGAATTAAAAAGGAAAAACAGCTAAAGCCAATAGATAGATATACAATCTTCATGAAACTTTGCTGAAATGATTGTTCTTAATTCCAAGGAAAAAAATATCTTTGTAGAGAATAATATAAAAGGTCACAGCAACCAGAAAATCGATGACTTTATAGACTAGAAGTAAATGAACAATCCACACGCAGAAAAATCTATAACATACAGATTTATTCGTAGAAGACTTCGCAAGTGACAGCTCACACAAACCATTTTAGACTTGTTGCAAATCATAGGAGATAATTGATTGAATGAGAGACTCGGACTTCCAGAAAAAAGTCTATTTTTTATGATTAATAATAACAGCATTGGATGCAGCACTACATCACAACAATGTGAAAGCACAATGGGCTATTTTAACATGTAGTAGCTGTTAATATATTAGACAATCAAAGAAGCTCATCTGCCTATGTCAGCAACATTGTATTAAACAGCGAGGAGATAATCTTTACTTTCGGTTCATTTGGATGGCCTGAAAGATATTGGTGGAAACCCCTGCTGCTCTTCTTCGAACAGGAGCCATGCGGAGATCTTCAACATAATCATAATTGCAGACAGTTGGGATCTCCGGTTAATTTCTCACCCAAACTAAAACATATCTCCAATAAAGCAGCACTGCCTCACTACAGTACTGGAGTGTCTGCTTAGAATTTGAACTTAGGTCCCGTTGTGGAACCTGGCTCAGTGGTTAAAGCATTCACCTCGCAAGCGAGAGACCTGGGTTTAATTACCGGCAGGGTGAAACGATGGGCAAGGTTTCTTACTTCACACCGCCTCTGTTTACCTAGCAGCAAGTAGGAACCCGGTTGTTAGTAGAATGGTGGATCGCTTTTCTGGGGGTAATAATTCCTTCAAATTAAATGGAAATAATACGGTCACTCAATCCCTGACTGTTTGTGGGACACTGCTGCGCACACTTGGCTGCTCCGTTTCGCCCATAAAATGAGTCAATTCAATTTACAGTATATTCTGTGAAGCCCTTTGAAATGTCTTGAAGACGTGATTAGTCGCTATATCAAATGCAAGGTTTATCATTATTATTATTATTATTATTATTATTATTATCCTGGCCTACAATACTCCAGAGTGATTGGTCATTCACATTACTCCTGTTTGTGGGTCCTTGCTATTGTGTTTGGCTGCTGGATTTGCCAACAACAACAACAACAAAATTACATTTATGGAGCACCTTTCACATCGGGAGGACGTCCCAATAAAGCCACTACACTGAACAGTAAAGAAAGAGCTTGCATTTTTAGTGTGCTGCTTATTCACTGTAATCCTGGCATTGAGGATGA